TCTCAACGTAATTTCACTTGGGATCTCAAATCTGCTTAAGTTGCAGAAGTAAATATGTCAACTTTGCCAACTATTTCAACAAACACGGTTGTCGCTAACTTTTTGAACTGCCAACTAGAAAACTTCAATGTTTGTACAATGATAACATAAGGTCAATCTAAAACAGAAATGCAACAGAGGTATTTCTAAAGAGCAATTGGAGGCTTTTTTTAAAGAGTTTCCAATCACCATTTATGTTACAACATATCAGGTCACAAGAAATGGCAGGACTGATATGGTCTAAATAATAGCAACAAACATAATAACTTAAAAGTTAACACGAGTAGAATGAAGGTCAAAGTTTATTTTTAAATGATGAGTTGCGCGAAACTTGAACAAAATGCCATGAAAGACAAAAGCAGTTTGTCATCAGACTGGAAAGGAAAAAGAAAGAAAAATCTTTGATGTTAAAATTTGGATGGTGGCTGTTGATGGAACAATTTTTATTAAACTATTTCAAGCAAAACCGTTTAAAAGGATTTCAAAGTGATGACAGCAAGAAGAAGGAGTATCTCAAGTGCACAGTTTAATTTTGTTCAGTACTCAAACCTTTTCCTCAGGTAATTGCTATATAAAACTTTCCCCCCCCCAAAAAAAACAAAAACAGGAAAGCTAATAGAAATGCAAATAGAGTACTGAAAAAAAGTGAAATGAATGAAAAAACAACGTCAGAGTAATAACCCAGTTACAACATCCAGAGTTTGGTGAGGGACACTTCGTTTAATAACCCAGGAGGATGCAGAGAAAATATGGGAGTTTTGACAACTTTGGGAATGGGATTTAAGATAGGCCTGAGATAACAACATGAACGGACAAGGCAGCCATCACAAAATGGTAAACATTGCGATCTTGTAGATAGCCTGCAGATTTAAATTTTTTTTGTTTACGTTTTTCAAATGAACGGAGGCAAGTGCGAGACGAGCACGAATTAGTAGTGGGAATCACGAATGAGGGAGGAGCGCGAAATAAAAGAACATCCGGAGCCACGCTATTGTGCAAGTTGTTTCTTCGTTCATATGTGAACGCAACAACGACGTTGTTTACTCGTGATGATGTGATCATCGAATCAGTTCAATAACAGCGTGGCGGTCGTATCATGCTCAATGGACGAAGCTATTCGAGAAGCCCTTCGTTTATTTCCGAACGAACCAACTGAAATGGAAAATCAAAGGAACCGCATCGATGGTATACAGAGTTAAATGATTTTAATGTGTATAACCCCCAGCTTTCAAAAACTTTCAACTTTGTATCGTAACTTTTCACCCTATTTATTTCTTTGTACTTTAGAGGCACTCAAAAGTTGTTTAATTGCGTGTTTTTTTTCACATTGCATGTAGCATGTATTGTTGTTTGGATGACATTGAATACTCAGGCTTATGTTGTTCTTGCAAATACGGATATCCAGTACACACAGGGAAATATATGACAAACACTAGATACAGATAGGCGTCGTTTACTCGGTAGGAATCTAGTAAAGCAAGGATCCTCCTGATGAGGCCTGAAATTATTGGGCACCCTCCTCTTTTAATTCGTGTTTTATTTTGACCTCTACTCTTGAATATTAAAGACACTTAGATTTAGAGTGGCTTTTTTATATTTCGACAAGTGAAGTTTAAATCGATTGGCATCCACGGGATGATCACGGGGAGAACATATGTGCAAAATTAAAACAAGAGAGCTGTGTAGACCATGTTCTGCTTTACATCTTGCTCTGGATATTTGTAAAAATAATCCAGTCATTTTCACTGTCACAGTGACTCTTAGAAACCACTGTGCCTGTAGAGGATGATTGGCATTTCTCTCGGCTGAGAATGAAAATCGACAACTGGAAGATTTGCGACCAGTCGATTTTGGCCCTTTACCTGAAAGACTTCTTTCAGTAAGGACAAAGTCAATAAATGACAATTTCGTAAATTGAAAATTACGACCATTGTTGTTTTTGTAATCACAATTCAACGCATTTTTCCATCTTAAGAGTGAGCGCCAACGCACTATAAGATTGTTATTCGTAGATTGACCTGAAAGACTTCTTTTCTTTCAGTGTTTATATGAAAAAAATCAATAAATATGAATTTCAATTTGTTCAACTAAATTGAAAATTACGACCATTGTTGTTTTTGTAAAATCACAATTTAACAAAGCCGTTTTTCCATATTTTGTGGAAGAGTTTAAGAGATAGCGAGTTTGCAACGTTTAAGTTCGTTAGTTAGCTGCGCACCCCACATATGCTGAGTTCACTACATCAACTAACCAAATTCCCTTCTACACAAAAACCTAATAAGTAATCTCTAGATTTGAGAATAAAACTCTACAGTAACCATTGAGAAGTTCTGAAAAAGTGAATTAAGAGCTGTGTAAAATAAACTAATAAAAGATCCACTTTTAGGCTTTTCTAAATCTATATGTATTATTTGCGACTGAAAGATCAAACAGAAAATAAAGGACGTGGTTTATTTTTTTTCCTGTGAACTGCCATTCATAAGTTTTTGTCCTCATTGACAATTATGTCTGTCTGTCCTCATTTAATTATGATTTTGTGCCAGTTCAGTTTTGTTTCCTAATTTTCTTAATCTTGATATGATCATTCTTCGAGCGCGATGAATTTTCAGCATGAGTACTGGAAGCTAAGATAAACGCGTTTGATACGATCATTCTCCAAAGTCATTCAAGTTTCCATGACGAGATAAAAAGTATATTAAGAAGCCGTAAAATAAAAAAAGTTTTTCTTTCAAAGCAAAACCACGAACCACAGCAGGACCAAGGAACACAGCAACGCAATCATAAGGAACAAAACACGCGAGTGGAATGAAACGCCTGATGACTCAAGAAAAGCTGCAATAATACGAGAAAAAGTTAGAATGTAGTTTGTACACATACTATACTGCAATATTTAAAACACAATCAGTTAATCACAAACGAATTGATAAAGTTGTCTTGAAGATGGTTGTTTGCCTCCCCAAGCTTCCAAGGCTAGTTTATTTATGATAGATGATGGCAGCAAAATTTCATTCATCTTCGAGTACTTTTAATTCATGTCATCGGCTACTTCTTTATGCAACCAAGGAATTTATGCATAGCCAGCGAACAATTACAGTTACGCTTCATAAATGGGGCTTAACGAATATTCGACTTGTGATGGTGGCTAAGAAAGTGTTGGTGGAAAAGCTTATAATTTACTCATCCTAAGTCATTCTTTTTTTATCGCAACGTATCCCATGCTATCCTACTCTACCCCATTTTATTCCATCCTGTTCTGTTGTAACATCCCATTTTATTCCAACCCATCCTATTCTATTTAATAAAATCAGTCACTGACCTGGTTGACAAGTGAGGTTCAGGCCCATAGAAAAGCCCTCCTTGCACATACACTTTCCATTCTGACAATATGAATTTACTTCGCATTCTGGATGACAAATTTCTGAGGACAGTAATGATACGTATCTATGGTGATGTTGTTTCCTTACCGTAAGCACCAATTATTTGCATAGGAACCAAAATGCATCTATCAGCTTGGATATATATAGTAACCTCAGCTCTATGGATCTAGATTAAATTGACTTTAAAACATTACCTGAACAAGTTCCATCCGACGCCTTTCTATAACCACCTTCACAGAGACATTCATAACTGCCATTTTGGTTTTGACACCTTGAGAAAGCTGGGCAGTCGTATGTTTTTTCCTGGCATTCATCAATTTCTATGCAAAACAGAAAGGACACATCACCTTCCATTCCTTTGTGTTCACGATTGATTCGGCATAAACAACTCAGTCGAGAAGACCTCTAAAAGATGATTCCCTATATTGGGGACATGGCCATGTCGGTTTAATGGAGGCAGCAATTTAAGTGTCCCCGCAATGGAAAGGGTCTGGATGAGAGAAACCCCATTTTACGCTGATATGAAGAAGGTCTCAATGCTTTGTGTAATCGTACCATAAGGTGAGTGGTAAAAACAAAAAAAGAATAAAAAAATTATGATCAAGAAACGATTTTATCATTTTTGATAATTTTAACAATTATCTTAGACATCAATTTGAAATTTTCGCTCACTGACCGCCCTATCATCGCCTCGTACGTATGAACGCCAGACCTCATACGACATTTGAGCAGCATGCGTTTACACTCGGCTATCATTGCCTGAAAATCGGCCTCTAGTGGCCAAAATACAGTAGTATAATGATACAAAGTATGAAGTTGTTAACTGCTTGACCTAATCCATCCTTTAGGATAGCGTATTTCTGAAAAATGTTGCGATGGCGATCGGCCACGAATTTTGGCTCTCCACTTTCTGCCTCCTTGGATTGGCTATAAACCCCATTGGCGCGCCTGAAACCAGCCTACAGTCCGCTTAAGATAATGTCCCTCAAGTAGTAGCCCTTGCTGGAGCTCGAATTGATCCAAGCGGCATAAAATGGATTTGTTTACAGCCCGAAACCAAGATTTGAAAGATCTCGTTATCGAGTCTCGTATTTGCATACAAGAGTGGCAGGACGTCCAAAGAGTATCCCAGGATGGAAAGCTTGCTAAATCTCCACTGATAATTAACACGCCTTTTATTTCTGGTATGTGGGATGCCTATGTTATTGACCATAATCACCAAAACATCACCTTATTTTTTTTTTTACTTTGAGAATGGGACAAGAGCCTCTGGTCGATGTATAAAGCGAGGAAAAATACGTTTTTCTAAGACACGCATCGCTTATTACAGTAACTCTGTGGCTACCCAAGCACTCCTGCTAAGCGGTGATGTGGCAAAAAACCCCGGAACTGGCCAGGAAAAAGCGACAAATACCAAAACTATAACATCCAGTTCGAAAACAACACCGGTCAAATGTGACCTCTGTGAGAAAACAATTAGACGCAATCAAAAGAACATTTTAGGTGTTATTGTATCGGATGCTTTCACTGGGAATGTGTTAACTGGAAACCAATGGTCACTGATTGTGCGATAATTGCGTAAGGGTGGCTTTGCCTTTCTACAAATGTCCTGATGCTGAGCTACTCGACGACGCCACAGAATTCACTCGGGATGCTGCATTATCAAGTCCATCTGATTATGCTCACCCTCTTCGTAATAAAAACTCACATTTCAAGATTATGCATCTTAATACAAAAGCCTTAGCGTCCACTTTTAACGAGTTTCTACTAACTGTCAACATTTTCCCGCAGTAAGATATTATCGCCTTCAGCGAAGCCTGGTTAAGAGACCAGCCACAGTTACCACAATACGTATCGGTACCTGACTTTACAACTAAGTTTAGAAACAGGCAAGGCTTGAAAGGAGGAGGTGTCGGCGCCTACTTCAAAGACAATATAATATAAGCGCCGACGCGACATAGAGAACTCCTTTCCAGAGATGGAACACCTCTGGTTAGAGATTCCCGGCCGAAACAAGTACAGCAAAGCATTGGTGAGCGTGATTTATAATTCTGAACGTATTTTAAATCCATCTAGCTGGTTAGATAGCCTCGAGAGTTTGCTAGGTCATCTCACAGTGTCATAGGATGGCATGCTAATCCTTACTGGTGATGTCAATATAATAAAGGTACCAGACCATCCTTGACGTCTTTGGATTAACGCAAGTAGTGACGCATCCGACATGAACTACAAAGACAACGAAAACTCTTATAGATCACCTTACGAACTACCCACAGAAGGTTACGGACACAGGTGTAGTGTCTTGTTCCATAATAAGTGATCACGACGCCATCTACGCTTGCATCAAGCGGCTTAAACACATACGGAGTATGAAAAACTTCAAAGAGGAGTCTTTTGTAGAGGATTTCTCTACGCTTCCCATGTCCATCATATCATGTTCGGACGATCCTGACGAACAATTAGAGACCCTCAACTCCCTGATTCTAGAATGCATAGAAAGACACGCCCCGTTAAAAAGGATACGTGTTACTAGGCCACCAGCGCCTTGAATGAAATGTCCCAACATTAAAGACCTACAAAAGGAGAGAGACACTGCCAGATACGAGGCCCACAATACCCCTTCTGATACAAATTTGGACTACTTTCGTTAAGTACTGAAAGCTGCTATCCGAACTGCCCGTAAAGCTTTTATTGAGAAGGCGCTTTACTCAAACAAGTCAAGTGAAGTTTGGAAGGTCATCCACAGAATTCTTAAGCCTAGCTCAAAGCCTTTGCGCTTCAACCCTGATACGCTGAATGGTCATTTCGCGTCTACAGCGCAAAGAACTCTTAATGTAAATGCGACTCCCTACGTTGAGCTGACTGAACTGATCGAAAATCTCTCCGATGATTCGGACGACCATATTCTATTCAACAATTCTCCTGTTTCTAGAGAAGAGGTATTCAAAGCGATTAAAACCTTAAGGTCCGATTGTTCCACGGGAGCCGATCAGATTCCAACTACATTCATAAAGCTTGTGGCTGACCACTTGGCGGGTCCTCTTACTAGGATCATTAACGGTTGTATAACTGAAGCACAATTCCTAGAGCTTTGGAAGATCGCCAGAGTGTCGCCCATACCCAAGGTAGACAACCCAACAATTAATGACGAACTAAGACCAATCTCGAGGTTACCGGTGTTGTCTAAGGTGTGCGAAAGGTTGGTCGGCCGGTAGATGTCGGAGTTTGCAAATAGCGCCTCTCTTCTTCATGATAACATTTTCAGTTTCCGTAAAGTGCACTCTACCACTATTGCCCTTCTTGGAATAAGAGATTATATAAAACGCGCTAGGAAAAGGAAAGAGGTCGTCTTGATGGTTCTCTCCCATTCTTCTAAGGCTTTTAATACGGTTTGTTTCAAGACGACGTCAAAGAAATTCTACAAACTCGGCTTCTCCTAAAACTATTTAAAATGGCTCCTTAGCTATTTATCTGATCGAACACAATTTGTACAAATTGATGACACTAAATCACACTTCAAATCACAGTTTGGAATACCTCAAGGATCAATTCTTGGGTCGATGATCTTTAATTTATGTGTATCAGACCTCCGAGAAAACCTAGATCTATCCACATCTTGTTCTCAATACGCTGATGACCCATCGCTCTACACCCACTGTGCAGTAAGGGGATTGGAATCAACGACGTGTGATTTAAACGAATTCCTTACCAAACTCGGATCATGGTCTAAGGACTCTAACCTTGCCTTGAACCCTAATAAGACCAACTTCATGGTTCTCTCCACCCATCAAATGTCAACCCACCACAAATTAGCAGATCGTGCACTTAATCTCACTTTCGGAGACAGCTCTCAGACATTTTGTAATACCCAATTTTGTTTGTATAACAGATGTAGAGCCATTTTACCCATGGAAATGCTGTTAATAAACGGTTATTATTATTATTATTATTATTAATATTATTATTATGTAGACCTGAGTTGTTCTTATGCACAATTCTAAATTGTTATTTCTTTTAAACGCAGTTAACAATTTAAAATTCGTATCCTCTACCTTATTATTACCTGCGCAATGCATTTTGTCTAAACGATATCCTTCGCGGCAGCTACAGGTGTACGATCCAAATGTGTTTGCACAAATCATATCGCACGGACGACCAATCTCGCATTCATCATAATCTGCAAGAGACAAGAGATGGACTATATACTAGAGAAATCACCCTCAAAACCTCTACAACCACGTGCTTTATGACAAATACTTATGGACGTAGAGCATACCTTACTTAGTATGAGGAAAAAGTGTCGACATTTCTTACCCACACATATTCTTTTTCGTGAATTGAAAGCAAATCCATCCGGGCATGTGCAAGTGTATGATCCTAAAGTGTTCCCACAAGTTGCTGTATCACCACATGTCTCCAATTTCGCACATTCATCGATATCTTAAATAACACATGTCAAAATATATTGTAAACAAGCGTATTGACTCGAGTATTCATAGAGAGATGAGTGCTCTAATTGGTCGAGAATAACGACATATCTTATCACCAGCAAACTGCGCGATGTGATCATTATACTTTATTAAGAGAATGAAAATTTAAAAGAATACAGTCAATCTAGTGAACTGAATATTGTGAAATAAATCTTGAACTTTGGTTCCGAATATTGCTTCTCCTTGCATCCTTTTGGAATCATTTCCTTTCATTTCAAGGCTCATGTCAGACCTTCCTGTGCTTTTATTATTCAATAAAAGTGACCCGCCTCAGAAAGATGATAGAAATTTTACAGTAACGTTGGTAGAAGAGGCCAAAGGTTAAAATTTCACTTTCAGACTCTTCTTACTTGTTTCAAATTAACTTAAAATACATCCTTAGATTCGGGCCAAAAATCCAAAGTAGCGTACATCTCACAACGAGAGTGTGCTTTTATCTGAGACCTTGTTTTTTCTGAAACATCTGTGTGGCCAAGAATCTCTAATCCTCGAATCTGACTGGCTAATCGCGATATTTGCGCAGTACAGCTTTTCACCGTATGATTACTGTACGGAGTTTTTCCGTACAATTTGGGCCCAGAACAAAGAAGGATAAATAAGTTTTATGACAGGTCTAGGTCGGTCTGTATAGGAAGAAAACTGTGCACTTGGTCCTGAGAACGGCCCTTGGCCTCAAGCCGTTTCCAAAACGTCAAGCACGGTGTATTTCCATACGAACCTTCTCCCGGCTGCTGAACGACATTTGTATCTAACAAATTTTTAGGATAAAAGATGTTAGTCGGTGAAAAGTGATTTAACACCTATAGCAACTTGCTCCGTTATACTAGCAGGTTACATTAACAAAAAGTCACCGAAACATTTTTTTCCACCATCATTTGCACTCTTGTAGCCAACTTCGCAGTTGCATTTGTAAGATCCCCCAGTGTTTGAACAAACAGAGTTTGAACCACAGATATCTTTGTTCAATTCACATTCATTGTTGTCTGCAGAATGAGAAAAGAAGACATTATGTTATGAGTGGACTTAAGGACTGGACAATAACTTTTTGTGCGCCGATCTTGAAAACATGAATTAAGTACATACTACGTCTGAATTGTAGAAAATCTCGCGTGTTTGTTACCCCTTTGTTTGGAATTTTAAGACGTTTCGGAGTTTTATTTTAGCCAAATGTTGTGGTTCACCTCTGAACAAGTTTAATACATATTTTCTTCGGAGTTTTGACTCTGGCCTCTGTTTACGTAAATTTTTACATGAATCAATCAATAACAGCATCTACAGTTTGGAAGAGCTCAACCGTTCTTCCCATCTTGCTTAGCCGGGAGTAATCTCAGCGGCTGAATCACTGAAGCGCCCATTTTTTAATTCAATCTGCCTATGAAAGGCTCGGCGTCCAGGTGAAAGGCGATGCTAGCTGAATTTTTTTGCGGGCGGACCTTTCGTCTCTTTCAGATTGCATACGAGAGAGCCATCTATTGTTGCATGAGGGAATTGAATGGAGAGAAGAGGTAAACAGCTTTTTGCCACTGGCTGCATGAAACAATCGTTTATTATTGGTATTAAACCCATGCAAGGTAATTGGTGTAGGCTGGTATTGCTTGATTAACGTTTTATTCGTTAAATAAAGACAGTCAAGAAAATGTCCTTACCAATACAGCCCACTGCACTGAAATAATAGCCTCCTTTGCAATCACACACGTAAGTGCCATTAAAATCTTTACAAATTGTATTCTTCGTGCACGGGCCATTGGAGCAGGGGGTTAGTGCTGGTAAGATAGACAAATCCATTCAGTGGAGCACAAGAAATGTTGTTAAGGGGGAAAGAATGATTTGAGATTTACAAAGATCAGCCTATAGCAAAACATGTTGGAGACACGTTGAATATCCATGATGGTGGTTTAAAGGAGCAAATATTTGTGTAACAGCGATAGAAGGCATTTGTATAAGGCTTATATAACATAGAAGTCTGTTTCTCCGTTAATTTATTATCTGGACTCATATTGACATACTTATTTTCTTCTAGCTCGGGTTCAATTAACTTAACCCTCATGTCGATTAGAACCTTTTCAAAAGGCAAATTCCTACAAGAATATGATGTGTTACCTTGACAACTTCCATCTGCTGTCTCCCTATAACCGGCTTTACAGCGACATTCGTAAGCGCCAATCAAGTTTTTACACTGTGAAAACTTTGTGCAATTGAATGTTTCTTCCTCGCATTCGTCAATATCTACGAACAGCAAAAAATAGTTATTTGCATTTGATCTCTTTTTTATTTGTTTGTTATTGATAAAAACGAATCTACAAAGACGTCCCTGGGGTCAGAACAAGAGAAAGGAAAATGCATATTTATAACTTTAATAATAACTAGGATAACAATATTAATGACAACAATATTGATAAAGACCATAGTAACATGGCCTCTCTGTTAGAAAGAAAAGAATTTTCAAAGCTTATGATTTGTGCCTTGTATTATCCATGCATGGATATTTTGGAAAAAATGTTTGTGCGGTCTCCATGTACTATTTAAGATTTTTGTTGTTCTTTTTATAAGTGTAAGTCCAACTGGGTTGTTTTCGGAACCTAATGTGCTTTATTTTGCGAAAATCTCGGAAATATATCGGCATGTTAGGCAATCAGAAAGAAATTTTCAGCTCCTTTTCTACAAAATTCTCTCTCTGCAGCAGGAATCTGAAAGGATAACATATGAAATATATCAAACATCGTTTAATTCAAGCAGGAGTTCGAATATTCATTATTACTTACCAGAACAATTCTTTCCATCGTTCATATTACTCTTGAAGCCCACTTCACAGTTGCAGTGATAAGATCCCACAGTGTTTGTACAAACGGAGTTGAGGCCGCAGATATTTTTGTCCTCATTGCACTCATTTGTATCTTTAGGATGAAGAAGGATGACACATACCGTATTTACTTGGCTTTAAGCCGATCCCGGCTGCAAGCCGAGATCCCAAACTTCCAATTTGTAAACTCAGCGGCACCATCACGAAAAATTAAACCAAAACATTCGCTATAAGCCGAGCTCTATTTTAGAACACAATGTTCACAAAAGAAACACTGATTGTCATGAACATCTAGACAGTGAAGACGACGAGAGGTAAGAACAGACCGCTCCAACTACAAACAAACGGCTCCTTTAGGAGCCACCACAAAACAAAAAAGTTTATGACCAACATACTTTACCCTGAGTTTATTTTATTTATTTTCACTCGGCTTATACGCGAACACGTGCCCATTTATCATTGTTCTAATAAGTCGAAAAAGTTTTGTTTTAGGAAAAATCTCGGCTATAAGCCAAACCCCCTTCTATAGCTCAGATTTTTTACCGAATATTAGCGTGAATTTGCGCGGCTTATAGCCAAATAAATACGGTAATTATTTTGTATTTATTAACATGCAATTCACCCTTGTTGATGGGCTTTTATTTAACTGGAAGCGAAAAGGTGTTTAATGGCTGGGCACTGAAATATGTATCATACAAGATGATTCTGTGTGACCTCAAGACTTTTAAAACTAAATCATTACACTAAGATGTAATTGTGATGTAACAGATACTCAGTTTGACTCAGTTTGACATTTCTTGTGTATAAATACCTTTCCAACACAACATTTGTCTTTCATATGATAACCTTGTTTACAATCACACAGGTGCGAAACTCCAAAGTCTTTGCAAACTCCATTCTCCATGCACCCTTTGTCATTTTATATCTAAAAGTAAGACTTAATGAATAGCCCCCATGTTGGACAAATTTGGTGTAAGCTGTAACGAAACGTCTCACATTGCCCGCTAATCTAACTGATTGCAACACCCATATCATGGTGGTTCATTTCACTGGTGATCTTAAAGCTTGACAGTCTCATTAACACTTCTTGAAAAATAATAATGTTCTTACCGATGCACTTGATGTCTATGGCGGTAGCTTTACTTCCCTTGTCTGCCTCATATCCCACAACACACTTGCAAATGTATCTTCCTATCTGGTTGACGCATGTGGTGTCCTTACTGCATTTGTTCAATTTTGGATTACTGCATTCATCCTTGTCTGAAAATTGTTCAGAAAAGAATACGAGATATAGGATAGCAAAATTATTAGCTCATAGCACGAGTTCAACTAAACCTGTACACTAAAGCACAAACTATGTTCACTTTCATATCCCTTTTGTTTTTTTGGGAATAATTTGAGACATGTTAGACAGCTAAAGCAAATAAAGGATTTCGCGTCTTGGAAACTGAGTTGATTCCAAATATGGCTAAAACATGTGCGATTTTCTCTTGCATAATAATAATAATAATAACTAGGATAATAATAATAATGACAACAATATTGATCATGACCATAGTAACATGGCCTTTCTATCAAAGGAAAAAAAGACTTTCCAAAGCAGGAGGATTTGTATGGAAAGAAAACGCTTTTTCCTCTAGTAACGCTTACATGATTTTCATTCAAATCGTTGCCTATGTTTTGTAGCTGCTATAACATTGTAACTGCTATAAAAATTTTCCCTTCCCGTCTTGCAAGATGATCAATACTATGTACTTATTTACCTACAAATAGTCATGGAAAATGTATTTCTTCTGAACGAGAAAGCATGAAATTGTTAAGGTTTCAAATGGTCATAAAATCTTCACCTTCACTGACATTCGTCTGAAAATCTGTATTCTGGCAGAATGAATCCTGATCCTCATATTTCTTGAAATCATGAAATTCCATGGGAAAGAATACCGATTGTTAATCACATGACCAACCGTGTGAAGGCTTAGTTCAACTGATAAAGTGGTTTCAAAGTAGTTTGTTGTCGTTTTACCTCGACATGTTTGAAGTTTTCCTTTGGCATCACTCACAGCTTCGTAACCATCCCTGCACGAGCACTCATATGATCCAGCGGTGTTCTTACAATAAGAGTTCTTCACGTGCCTCTCATGATCACATGCACTTTTAGAAGCGCATTCGTCGATGTCTAAGAATTTTAAAACGGAAAACTACTGAAGTTAGAAAAAAAAATTGCAGCTATTGAAGCTGTTTGTAAAAATTAATAAGGTTTCTTTAAAAGACTCTGGGCATTTCAAGTATGTTGCCCAACCCCTCCCTCCTCAGTTGTATTGAATGAGTGTGTCTAACTGTTTATGGTATATGAGTATATACGTCATGTCTTTTATGGCGTCGTGCACGCTATTATGGTTAACAAGCATTCATCGAAGTGGAGCCAAATATTCATATTAGATTTGTAGCAAAAATACCGAATTTGGTCAGAAATTTAACTTCTGACAAGCGATTTTATCTCGTCGTCTGCCCGAAGGTAAATAGTTCTTGCTAATCACCTCAGAACAAGCCAGCAAACCCACGCGAAAAGCACTATTCACCCGTGTGGAATATACTAACAACAACTCCGGTGATCAGAGGAGTGCGCGCGCTCTGATTGGTCGAAGATTGAGTCATATCTCGCTATAATTGCTTCGCGTAAGGTGATTATGTCAAAATTGCTATCTCGTGTTTTGTCAATGGAGGTGACATACGTAATAGAAAGGAAATACACACCTAAAGAGCGAAAAAGATACTAAAACATTTGGCGCTACACGTTACAAAAGAAAGATATGTAGTTTTTGGCTGATGGAATAAAATGAACCTGTTAAATTCTAGGAAAAACTGAATTCAGAACTATTGTGGCACAATTTATAATTTTCAATTTACATCACGAATTTACAACATAATTCAATAGCACCTTATTTAGAAATTATACTAAAGCACCTATTCGTCTGAGGCTTAGTGAAGATTGTTGAATAATCTCCTTGACTTTGTTTCGGGAATCATTCAACAAAATTCACTTCGCTTCGGCAAACAAATGTTAAATATTTGCAATCTACTAAATCGAGACTGAGCGAGCAGTCACTGCGAGGAGCTGATACGAAAAAGGTTTCATAAATTAAAATATCGCGTTTGAAACAAACAAAATATTTCTGATATTCAGTCATAGTGAAGAATTCAAATCATCAGAGCAAAACAAATATCCGCTTATTGCTTCACATACCTTTGCATTTCTTATACTTCCCTGTTATTTGGAATCCACTCGGACAAATACACGAATGAATTTTTTTCCCATTCACGCATTTGTAATTGTCGCCACAAATATCAGGCTTTTTACAGACATCAACAACTAGAAAACGTAAAAAAAAAAAACTCGAAAGGCATAGCATGGGAATACTGATTTATATTTTCGTGATAAAGGACATTTCTAGCAGTATTAAAAGCTTGCGTTGCTGGCGGTTTTTTGGGTGCTTGATGAAACTCCAGGCGTAGGTGCTCAGACAAAGTGGAGAAGATGTTTGAGTGGAGAAACTTATTTTTCCGTTCCAAGACTCTCGTGGCTTCGCCGCCTAACGCGTCAAAACTCTCACAAAATGGCTATTTATTGAACCAACACTGATATGCCATAACCAGACCTCTTGAAAGAACAACTAAAGCCCAAAAATTCAAGAAAAATTATTCCATAAATAGCTCTGCATCAAACGGCGCTCAAGTAAAGGTACAGCTTTTAACATCAATCATCAAAATTGCTTTGATATGTATATCATTACCTAACAACGGGCCATTGTAAATTTCCACCTCACGGAACTGGAGTTTGGCGGGAAATTTTTCAAAAAGGAGGCTGACAGTCCTCTTTCTGGTGTCCTTTGGAGGAATTATAGTCTGGACAGGTTCTGCTGTTGGAGAATCCAGACTGCCAACTTCAGCTCCATCTCCTGTCAATGTGGAAATACCAAAGATTCATTCACAAGAAGAATTCGTCAGAGGGCATGTGGCGAGGGTGCTCTGACTTTTTCGTCGTGAAGAATAAGATATCAAGTTGCCCTGAGAGAGGGGTCTGACACACGTATTCGATAACTTGCCTAGAACTTTTAAACCTTTGAGGTCAGCCGGTTTGTAGCCTGTCGCTGTCACAATTCGCACCAAATGAACTTTGCATACTGCTATCAAGTCTACACGCCACCACAGTGAAACATGATCTTCGTTGATAGAGAACGATTTGTCTGCGACGAAAGAAAGAATTAGACGAACAAGGTTAGTAAATACTGAACAAGCAAATAACTTATTATGACAAAAAGTCTGTAAATAAATGCACATTTGCGTACAAAACAATACAATACCTATTTTCTGATCACAGCCTCTGTATGCATTGTCGTTATCTTGAGATGCTTTCGCAGGACGCTTTGCAGCTAAGTTTACTGAAAATAGAATCAAAATATTACTAAGAAACAAGCGAACAAATGGTCGATCTATAAAGTAATAATACAAACTTCAGGTATTTCGCAAAGTTTTTCAAACGTTTGCAGTCGTGGGTATCTTGATTCATAAAGAAACATCTGTTGGAAAAAGAGTAAAAATTGCGCATTCTTACCTGTCTTTGTCTGAAAAACCTCCACTTCACAAATTTCAAAAGTGCGACGACTTTTCAAGTCGACATCCAATCTATTCCCAATAACCGGCTTCTGGCATTCAAAGTAATTTGCCGATTCTTTATATTTAGGAATTGTTGTACAGATTTCTTTCTTGCCTGAGTAACCTGTAATTTCAAAGTTGACAGCCATGGTTGATAGTAAAACAGTACAGTCAGTTATGCATTTATGTGTACAGCCAATACTGGACTCAACACATAGCACTTACCCTGACTTAGCACAAACCGCAATAAGAACCGCTTCTTTTGAACACTCTATATACCCAGACAGACATACATATTTATTTATAACTTAGAATACAGACAAATATTTCTTATGCGAACACCCAAAGAACTCTCGTCGTGGTCGGCTTAATACAAGCCCCATTGTATTATTATACAATTATATTTTGTCCAGAAAATCATTAGAGTGTCACAGAACACCCACGTGACTATCGGTAGTCTTAGTCCACTTAATTCAACCTTTGGTACGCCGTAAACTATCGACCCACTATCAGGTGCTTCACGATCATTGGGGTGTTATAGAACACTCACGGGACTATCACCGGTCGTGGCTCACTTCAATACAAGCTTTAGTACACCGTAAACGATAAGGTCCTCATGATCATTGGGGTCTTACAGAAAACCCACAGTCTTGCTAGTTAGGGTCCCTCTAATTCAAGTTTTAGCGCACAGTACACTATTGAGTCCCAATACTCCTGGCCTGAGTCCTTTCTGCTCACGGAAACGTTCAAGACAATTCAGTAAAAAGCCGTGCGTAAGTAAAAACGTTAGTAAAGACAAAAAGTAGTCTGAACCTGGCAATGTAACCAAAGACCCACACGGAAACGCGATTGATAGAATGAGTCATAATTTCAGAATAACATCTGGCTGAACTCACCAACTGTTATTTCAGAACCTCCAAGACTCGTTGAACGACCATGTGATATAAATACCACCGCTACGCGGATATTATTTCCCAGGTCCAGAGACCACACAGTTCCTGTTGTCCTAAAACATGACTGGAGATCTCCATCGTTCATGAGAGACTTTTTGAGTTTAGATGCAGGTTGCAAAGCAACGTTCGCTGTTAAAATTCAATAAAAGCATGGTCAAAAAGCCTTGGATAATCGTTTCTGCGTCTGTAAATTACGTGGTAGTCTACCAGGCATAATAACTATACAAATTTCTGAAAGGTATTTCCTCCCCAAGGAAGATGAAACCTTGGTACGCACCCGTAGAATAAAAGAATAACTGGAACTTTTCAATTTCCATTTCGTGGTTAGGACCCTAAAATTAGCCTTCATGTCAAATTTTAGTCAAATCAGTAAGGTTAAGTGACCGCGATTTTTCCAAAAAGTTCGAAACTTACAGACTTACAGCTCCTAAAGGTTCAAATCAAGTTTAGAAAAAAGTTTCGCCCTAAAGGAAACATTTCACAAAATTATTCCAATACTTCCAACACCGCACGACTGATGAAGATTAAGTTGCAAACTAAAAATTTGAAGGATGAATTTATGAAATAGACTTATTTGGGATTTTACATGAAGTAATAAGTGTTGCAAAATGCTGTTCTTACCATAAGAGTAAGAGTACACCTCAACCTCACATAAACTCAATATGCGAGAGTTAGTTGTTATTTTCACGGCATTTCCGAACAAGTAATCGTCACATCCGAAGCTTAACTGCTGTCCTTTCTCCAACACGCGCAGAAATGCACACTTTTTAAAGTGACTCAACTTTCCTTTTATTTCACCTAAATGATACGAAAGAATGAAATAAACTTTAAATCAAGTTTGGAAAAGAAGGTAATCGAAATTAATGAATGGAAATGCAACACGAATGATAGGAAAAGCGAAAAAATCAACGAGCCCCGGAGGATATACACTCAATCCAACACAAATTCAACCTTAATAGGGATGCTGGACTTATGTACAGCCTTCGCTCTACTAGAAGTAAGAGTCATATTGTTTTTTCGTACTCAAGTCCGTTTACATCCTGTATATCTTTTATGACCGTCACTCTCCTGGATCAGTCCCCATCACAGATACATCTTCACAAGGGTTGATAAATGAGGCTTAATACGAAATAACTTTACTGTTAGATTTATCCGTAACTTGCAGTATTTTCATACCTACGGACACTATGAGACGATCCAAAGGAAATTTCGGGGAAGCAGCAACACGGACATAAGACACTGGCCTATAGTCGTCCAGATGCACAATGAGCCAAGGTTTATATTCATTTAGTGAAAGGAAGCATGTTTTTAAGTTGCTATCCACTACAAACCGGCCAAAAGCGAGAACCTCTTTACAGCCCACGTCTTTCTTGCAACCGTCAAAGTTGTCAGTCGAAGACGCAGTTACTTTCATTGCTGAGGCAAGATTCTGGCCGCTGTGTTGCAACTGAAAGCGCGCTGATGAAAGAACCAATACAAAAAGTATGTGTATATTGTTTAAGTCAACCTTTGATGAACAGAAAGTTAAAACAGTGATTAGATCTGTAAATTTGGTTCACCCTTCAAAGCACTGGAGGCAACTCTCTCCCACAAATATTGGCACAGTCTATTAATTTTTGTGTAATTTTTATGAACAAACCTAACTACCTTTTGGTTTTCTGATGCAGCGTTCGCCGGGATTAACATGATTGTCCATACCAAGTTTTGAAGAAGGAGATGGAATAAAGCCAACATTGCACTTGCAGTGATACGCGCCCGGAGGAAACGACGAACTGATGAATGTTTTGTCGCATTGTGATCCGAGTGAGGTACCACATTTGTTTGGCATGTCACAGATGTTAGCTATGAACAAAATAATTACTTTCTATGATACTGATAGCCGGTGTGATATCAACTGGTTATTTGCATTTGATGAGGAAGTTTGAGAGATTCTGTGATCGAGACAGAACAAAAACAAGGAAGGAGAAATGATATTCAATACCAGCACATATTTATTCACCTCTTCTTATTCGCACGTCACTTATACTGCAATGAAAGATCCGCAGTCGCTTTTTCTTGATTTTCTCTTCACTGAAAGCTGTTAAATAGATAGAGATCTAATGACCCTTGGAATTGAAACCATTACGATCGAGGATTCAGTTAAACTAAGTCTACAAAAGCTATCTAGTGCAGTATTAAAAGTTAATAACAGATTCTAGAAGACGAACGTCGGGTACATGTCAGGAAATTTGTCACAAAATACGTTTTAACCAATGTTTTTAAATCCCTACGACATTTTTTTGAGACAAAAAATTTAGAATTCGAAATTTATGGAAAATTCGTAAGCGATTTGTAGGTTTGATTTACACGAAGCAATTCGTGAGAGCTCTGTGGCAAGCTAGCTGCATGTAACAAAGTTGCACCGTGTAAATCGGCCTCTAGGGTATTGCCCCTGTAGAGTCCTGTTATAGCACCACTCCAACCACCACTTATTGACAAAGCTCTCGCCCTTTCTCCTATCCTCGCCACCGCATCTAATTCTACCGACTCCAGTCATTTTGCGAATCGCTAGGGAACAACATCAAGCTAGAATCAAGAAAGACTGTAGGCTTAAAAGGTTTGGTAAATAAAGCAAATGAAGTTGTGTGAGCTTACGGATGTAAACACTTTTGACCGCGACAGTCCCTTTATCCTTAGAGTAGTCAAGGACTGTTCCGTTGATGTAGATGTCATGATTCTTCGGACCACATTTATCTTCCCGGTAGTGGTTTTCATTTGGTTCCACAGGTATTAGGATAGATGCGTTCCTCTTCAACATTTGTTTTCCTGGAGGAAGATCTATAATGACGTCTTTCCTATAACGTGTATAATTATCGTAGCTTTTCCTGTTTTTGAACACCTTGAACCAAAATTTACCACTTTTATCTGCACTCCTTATAATCCCCTTGATCAGTTTCTTGCCAGAACTCGTAGGAAGAAGGTAAGTCATTTGGTCGTCAAATGCATTACCTGAAGGCAGGAATCCAGAAAAAGAGTCATATTACATTCTCCACAATGATAAATCAAAATCTAAACGATATGCAAAGACGCGGATCACCACTCTTATAGTCGGTTTTCTAACTGGTTGCTATGTATTAAATAATGTGAGCCAAGAGATTATCAAATATTTATAATCTCTTTTGTGAGCGTGGAAAAATGAATAGACCGATATGTGAATGAATGTAGGGACATATTGATGGTGGGGTGGATGGAGAAGAAGGATCAGTGTCAGTATCTAGGCAACTGCCCACTTACCCCTCCCCTAACCCAACAACATTCAACTGATAACAAGGTAGGGTTAATGTTGTTGGGTTAGGGGAGGGGTAGGTGGGCAGCATCAAAACAGACACCGAAAAAGAGAGACAAGGCCGATACAGGTAGTGCAAGATAAACCAGCGGGAACTTACCCGTGTTCATGTGGACCAGTACATCACACAATTCCAGCGTTGCTGCTCCTTTGTGGCCCAGTGAAATATAAACATATTTGCCCAGCATTGGCTCAGCACAGTCATATCGTTGCAAGTAAGCGCTTTTGATTTCAAGACCTTGGCGACACAGTCGGTTAGATTCAAAAGCCAGTTGTTCCTCATCACCTATGATTAAGTTCGAGTCGTGTTGGATTACTTTAAGCAAATTCACTTGAGAGGCTTACATCACAAGTCCTTTGCGTGGAGAAAATCTAAACGGCGTGGGTCGCGGGTCGTGGGTGAATTTTCGCGGGTCGCGGGTGAAATGTCGCGGGTTGTGGGTAAATTGTTGCGGGTCGCGGGTAAATTGTCGCGGGTCGCGGGAAGACTGTCGTGGGTCCCGAAAATTGTCGCGGGAGAAAGAAGATGGTTTCTCCTAAATGCAACGCTTCTCCCCACAAACGGCTGCTTTGATGCGAACCCCATTTCCTTGTGCGAGTACATTTATTCACTATCACTATCCCAACTAAATTTTCTAAATTTTTCGCTCTTGGAAGTTCCCTGGCTCTGAAATCCTCGTCGATTTCTCGATGAACATCCTGTAATTTTCTTCAAAATCGTTTGTTTAGTTTTGTATGCTTTTTGCTAACCTGCCTTCTGCGGGCTTCTAAAAATAAAAATAGTTTTTAAGCTCTGTTCATAACTGCCCTAAGTTCATTTGTGGTATTCCGGTTTTTTTTTGACAATTTTTTCCGGTCTTATTTATTTATT